TAGAGGAAAGGTCCTACTTTGAATCAAACCAGCTTGAAGCCCTGGGTATCTCAGCCCCAGATCAGTGATCCCAAATGAAAGCCATATGGCTGGTAAGGAGCAGAGACAGGATTCAAACCCAAGTTCACAACAGTCAATAGTTTCAAGAAATCCCCTGGGGGACAAGGAGAATGAGGGGAGACCATTGCACTGAGGGAGAGCACAGCAGCAGTAGGTTGGGCTGCAATGGCCTTCAGAAAGGAGCTCAGGACAGAGAGAGAAAGGTGGTGACAGAGTAGTGACACCAAGGGGCGCCCATCAGCTATCAATACACAGTCCTATCACCCTTCCCCCATGCTGACCACCCATGAGCTTCAGGCTCAATGTGCAAGCTGGAAGATTGTACTGGATCCCTTAGCTGGGTTAGTGGAGCAATCCAGGCTGAGGTATCTTTAGCAGCAGCCTAACCCCACCACTGTTGCTGAACCAGCAACAGGCAGCTTCGAAAAGCAGAGAATATAATCCTCACTAGGCTGAGCTCCTTAGGAGAGGGTACACCCGGCATTAACCACCTGCAAACACACACATGCTGAGTTGGAATAACATGGATGGCTTTCTGCACTAAAAGGGGAGTGCCCTGGGGAAAGGGGAAGTCCTAGAGTTTATAAGGCTTAGAAAGGCTTTCTGAAGTTGGCCATTGCAGCTCCCCAAATCCAAAGAATCAAGAAAACATGCAATATGAAATCCCAAACAATCAGTCTGCTGAGCTAACTAGCAGCCATTCCTACTTGTCACCATCAATCTTTCTGAACTCCAGAATTTAGGTCCCATCTCCATAAGATTATAACCAACCCCACTTACCAACCCCCATACCCTCTGAGGATGGTTAAAGCATGAAAGAAAGAAGATACATTATAGGAAGAATGTTGGATATTTTTACAATCCACATAAAATTTTTAAAATTAACAACTTAGATTATTGGTCTAATTCATAAGATTTTGGTGACAAGGAAATGAATTTTTTTTTCTCACACATGATAATGCCTACGGTTCTAGAAAGATAAGGCATGGCCTAGTAGACTAAGCCCTGAATGTGGAATCAGGAATGTTTGAATCTCACCTAAATCATTCATTAGCTGTGTGAGTGACTTAACCTCTCTGAGACTCAGTTTCCTCATCTGCAAAATGGGCATTATAATAGCACCTACCTCAGGAGACTGTTGTGAGGATCAGAAAGGATAATGTATGAAAAGTGCTTCACAAAACTTAGCATGCCAAAGAAATGCCACCTAATAATACACAGGTCAGAGTTTATTAGACCCATTCTATTTTTTTAATTTTTCATTGCGTCTGAGGTATGCAACTGGATTGCACAGTGGTCTCCAACTTTGGTAAACATGCTTTTAAAATAAAAGCCCTTGACAATGTGTTTTTATCAGGGCCATAATTAAAGTCACTGAAGTTTTAGTACACAGAGGCTGTATGAAGGTCAACATGGAAAATATGCATATGGCTAGAGATATATCAAATCAGGTCACACTGGCTGCTCCTGGCAGGGATGACTGAAGTGGGCTGGGCCCTTTGCATACAGGCTACATGGTCTCACTGTAATGTTAAAAAACCATGGAACCTAAAACTCTGAGAGTCACAGAGCTCCAGTAAAGTAAGAAGACAAGCACCTGCTCTTCAGTCCTTGCTGAATCAAGGAAGAAAACACTTGGGTTCAGAGTGAGAGTCCGCAGTCCCATACCCTACCCTCTCTGCCCTCAGCCTATCTCCCCCACAGTCCTGTGCTGTTTGTCCAGCTTCTCCAATCAAGACCCAGGCTGGCAATAAATGGTCCACCTGAGGCAGGAGCAGGGACCTGCCCCCCCAAACAGGGGGCAGGTTTGTGTTGATCCACAAACAAATAATCATCACACTCTGATTCTCTGTGGCTTTTAAAGATGGGCTGTACAGATACCTAGAAATCAGGGCAGTCTGAGTAAGGAAACGCTGCTCTTACTTTTCTTCCCAGCAGAATGGCAAAAGAGTCTACGACTCGCTTGGTCTGTAGTTTTCCACTGTTCCCAGCTGGGAAAGAGTGGTTAGGAAAATCCTATACTTTCGGCTCTCTGGCGTTAAGAGACCTGCTCTCTGAATTCTTTCTGCTGAATATAAGGTAATTAAAAACACCACCCCGGGTGGTTGTGATATCATTTCTCTGTGTACATCAACTGCTTCTGAGACCCATAGCACTTTTACTGCTTCTGTTGCTGTCTCACCTTGGGCAGGTAGGTCACCTCACCTTGATGAACCTCAGTTTCCTCCTTTGTGCAAAGGGGATGATATTACTACTACCTACCTACAACAACTACAACTACAACCTACTACAACAATCTCAGAGTTGTTTTGGAAAAAGTACTTTCTAAACTTTTATATAAAAACCTTGAAACGATCACATTGTATAAATGTGAGTCACCATTGTTAATATTATTTGATTATATTTTGTTTTGTTTTGTTTTGTACTGGATCCATGTCTTCATCTGTGTAGAGAACTTCTAGAATCCCAGTGTGGAAACTGTCTCCACAGATGCAGATTGACAGCTCCTTGTAACTCATACTCTTAGAAAATGGTCTATATAAATAGGCCATTTAATATAAAAAGGTGGCCTAAGCACTGAGTCTAAATGACTTACCTAATGTCACATAGCTATTTTATGTCAGAGACAGGACTTGAACCCAGGTCTCTCTGACTCTGAGACTGGTCTTCTATATACTATGCAAGGGCCTCAGCTTTCTCATTTGTAAAATGAGGGGGCTGGATCTGATAAAGAGCCAGATGGTACAGTGCATAGAGGTGCCCAGGCTGGGGTCATTTCTAAGCTCAAATCCAGCCTCAGACACTTACTAGGTGTATGACCCTGGGCAAGTCACTTAACTGTGCCTCAGGTTCCCTCATCTGTTAAAGGAGCTGGAGAAGGAAATGGCAGACCACTCGAGTATCTTCGCCAAGAAAACCCCAATAGGGTTGCAAAGAGTCAAACACGACTGAAAACAATTGAACAACAACAAAGGTCCCTTCCAGATCTAAGCTTGCGCTCCTATGCTTCTATAAGAGTAATCTTTGTATTATTGTTGTTCATGAATATTACTTGATCTTTGATCAATCAATCAAGACGTATTTACTAATCGCCTACTCTGTACCAGGTACTGAGGATAAAAGAACAAACCACGAAACAATCCTTACTCACAAGATACTTGTGTTCTAAACTTCTTCTTTCCACCAACAAAATCGGGAAAAAAGACACAAGGACTTACCCAAGGTCCTCTCACACAGGTTTGGTACCCAGGCTATCTGTTCTATAACTTTTAAAAGAAATGAAGGGCTGAAATTAGTCTTTTGGATTCCCTCCTGGGCTCTCCCATGAACAGGAGCACCAACCTTGGTGTCTTGGTATCAGAGGGTTTTTTTTTTT